CAGGCGGATCTCTGTGAGTTCGAGGCCAGCCTGGGCTACCAAGTGAGTTCCAGAAAAGGCGCAAAGCTACACAAGAGAAACCCTGCCTCGAAAAACCAAAAAAAAAAAAAAAAAAAAAAAAAGAATATCACATAAAGGAAGAAGGTTCAAGGAATACGCTTCAGCTAACTAAAGTTTCCCTTCTCATCAGTTGTCTTCTGAATTCAGGTATGCACCCCCTGCTAAAACTCGAGCCAGCTACTAGAAGGAAAAGCCCCAGAGATCCTAGGACCAGGCATCATTAGGAAGAAGCATTTTCGTCAATGAACTAAAATAATAAAACAGGTTTTACTTTGCTCAGTAACTGTGTTCCCATGCTTCTTTCTCGGCATATTCTAGGTCTTCCTTCCTTGAAAATTTTTGCTTCATTATTTCCATTTCCTCTAACATTATACGCTAATATGGCCCTTCAACGTAAGTTCATATTCATAGGAAATAAATCTATTCTTTACCCAGCAGTCTTGATTCATTTCTCTCCTGCCATTTTTTTTCTGCTCTTGATCCAGGTGTCACTTTTTCAAGGTAACCTAGCTCAACAGGCTTTAAGCCTTCATCTCAATTTGTAGGTGTACACTGTGCATTACTTAGAATCTCATCTCCAACTGAATTAATAGAGCCCAGGCTCAGTAAAAGGAGTGGCATTAGCTAGTTTTACTCACTACTGTTATCTATGCATTTGCAACCTATCAAGTGTTCCAGAAGCATCTGGTTAATGAAGGACTGAATGAATGAATGCATTAACTAAGCAAAGACTAGTAACCCAGAGGCCCGATGTGATAACAATGCTACTAGTTATGTCATTTTAGGGTGAAACCGTGAGCAGTGTTTTTCCTCTGATTGTCGTTGAACTTCTGCGCTCACAAGATAAAGTATTAAACAGACCTCGGATAGTTTTGAAGTTTTCCTATAGCTTGAAGTAAACCAAGAGCAAACAAACGTCAGTCAAAAAAAAAAAAAAAAAGAAAGATACCCTTAACCCAAGCATGTAGCCTATCCCATAAATGGCCCAAACACCAAGAAACATATTTCTGCAGTGTCTTAGTATCTTTCTAGAGCTTTTGAGTGTCAACTCATGGCAGTATCTGGCATAAGGGTCAAAGATTCTGCAAGCTTCCTACCTTGAACTCTTGAACACAAACTCAGCTCAGAGGAAGGCCCACCGAGGATGGCAGCGAAGTGATGGGCATTTATTTAAAGTACATTCACTGAGCACCTACTGTGTGCCAGAAAGTCCTACTTGTGGACTGGCTCTGGTGGACCTGCGGCGATAGCTTAAGGTATTTCTCTTGCACCGAGCCTCCAGGACCCCGAAGGGAAGCCCTGGCCTGCCCACCTCCAAAGGCCAGGTCGGGGCTCAGAGGCGACAGACAATGTGCTTGTGAAAGTGCCAGGGGCAGGGCGGGCGGCAGCCCAGCAGCCGCAGCCGGCCTGAGCGGAGGGCGCCCGCTGGGGCGCAGGCGCTTACCCGTCGGGCGAATACTCGAGGTTGAAGACAGCACCGTGGGTGCGGGTGCTGAGGTACACGGAGTCTGCGGGGTGGATGGAGCCATACAGGTTCGTCATCGTGCGGAAGTTGTCCCGCGCCGGGTCCACGAACAGCCCGCGGCCGAGGCTTCGCTCTCTCAGCCAGCCGAACAGTCTGGCGCCGGGGCCGCCCAGGCCCGCGCCGAGGCCCTGCCGGCCCCGGCTGCCGGCCCTGCAGTC